CCACCACAGCAGCCGATACTTTAGTGTCTCCTTTGCTGTGTGTTTTAGTCAGAAAGCTACATGAGGATGAACCTTAGTATCTGTTTGTTTACTTTTTTAGCACCATTCCCCACAACAGCTGCCATCATTTCATTGGTCAGAAAATAATGTGATAAGATGCTAGAATAATTCAAGAACAACCTTTCCCTGCTAGTGAGCTTGATACAGGAAAAAGGAAAAGAATTACTTGGCTGAAAGACCGATTTGGTGGAGTCAGTTTCAGCATTAATGTTGATAGACTCTCTGGCATTCCCAGCACATCATCATTCAAATATACATAGCTTATGCATTTACTGATAAGTGAGCATGATAGCTAGCAATGTTCCTCTGCATAATCACCTCAACATTATTTTAATTTGCTTTGACTGGGAAGGCAATTTCTTCATGACTATGGGGAGCAGCATTGTCCAGGTTAAGTGACTGCATGTCTAATGATTGTTTCCCCTAACATCAAACATATTGCCAACACATTTTAAAGTCAGTTTCAATGACAACGTTAATCTGATTTGTCCGTGAAGTCTTCAGTTAATACGAACACAGCTACACTGTCACCATGAGTGCAGTGAGAATGAACCAACACAATAAATTAGGTGGCCAAAAACCAAAATTAACTAAAATGCCAGAACTTTTCAAAAAGCTGTGGGGAACTACAGAGTCCAGGGAGAATTCTCTGTGGGCTTGTTTATCCAGTGCTTATGCAAAATACTTATTTATGCTGCTTTAGGTTCTTGTTTGTTATTATTACCCCTGACAAAACCTGAAAAATTCTACATTTTAATGCGATCTCATTTGATAACCAGTGTGTAATATTAACATATACTAGACGACACCAATTTTGAATTGATTTCCACAACCATTTTAGGCTTTATTTGGACAATCGACATTCAGCATGTTTAAGTTTCACAAAATCCTGACCTCAAATGTACTTAACACGCTGTCATCTAAGGTCTCAAGTCACTTAAGAACAATGAATGATTGATTTTGTGCTACACAAAGTACAATTCTACAAAGCAGCTCTCCCTGGTGACTCCACTGCCCTCAATTCTTTATCTGTTCCTGTGTGGAAAGTCATCTAGTCCAGGTGCTGTACAATCACATCCTATTCAACAAAGCCAGGTACTTGAAGCAAATGACACCATTTGTGAGAGTCTCCAGGATGAAAGGTCATCTTATAACTTTGTGGACCATCTTACTTGTTGATCTGAATGTATGCATGTATGCTGAAACACTCCAACCTGAAAGGAAACTAAGTAGGTGCAGGTGACTACGTTTCCCGCTGTCAGGTCACACATGGCCTTATGAAAGGAAAGCAAATCATATTTCTACAGTACCACTAAGTTTATGTTAGTCATGTAATTGTAGAAATGGCCTTAGTGGATGTCACAGTGAGCATCCTGAGAGCGGGACTGCTGCTCCAGTATGACAGCTGGCTCATACAGCAGATCATCCTCTCCAAATGTTGAACTGTGCTCCAAGTTCACAAAGTTAGGGATGTTGAAGTGAGACAGAAAGGCACAATCTCGGCCCGTCTTGCTCTCATCTGTTAATCCTTTGAAAGGCTGGTGTCCTCCAGCTTCCTCGACATCCTCTTCCATATCATCCACACCCAAGGAGCTGATACCTCTGGGTTGGTTGCAGGTCCCCTGCTGGACTCCTGCCCTTGTGTGCTTTCCAACCTTCTTATTTTCAGTTTTTTCCTTCCCCTGACCCTGGTCCTCCTCATTGATGTAGAAATGAAAGTATGAGCGAGACTCCCCGAGCAAAGGACGGAAGAAGGCTTTGTCATTTTCGTCCTGGGGGCCTTCAATGTCTGCCAGACAAGTTCCTGGTCGATGATGCTTTTCAGCAGAATCTGGGTTTCTGTTGAGAAAGAAAGCCCTAGACTGAGATATCAGCAGGAGAAAGCTTTGAAAGTGTGCACCTTTTGTAATTTTTGTCTTGAATGTAGCTGAATCAGTAAAAATATTTCTGGTTTTCTGACCTGAGTCTGTGTTATTATTATTATTGTGTCTGACTGGAGATTAAAACCAAAAATTGTCCCATCCACTTTTCAGGAAAAAAGGTCAGCCTGTAAGTCCCCTATTTATCTTGGCAGGACTTAAGTACCCAGTCTGACTTTATTTTAGAGTCTTTTCTCCAGTTTCCACTGTTCATCTTCACTTGATGTTTGGCCAACTGAAGATCACCTCCAGGTAAAATATCAGATTTTCTCAAAAGGACAATAATGTTGTGCATTTGATAAGCACCATTGATATATTAAACCCATATTAAACCCCCTTGGCTTAATCTACAATCAGAGTAGCAGATGCATCAGTGGGACTCATTACAGTCCTGTCTTTCAATGCTTTTGCACACATCGTGACATGAAAGCTGCCCTGCTCTGAGATGATAAACATGAACACACAACTGCTTGAGCTGTCCTTAGTGCTGAAACGGTGCCTGCAGGGCCTGATGAGAAACATGCAAGGCAAGGCAAGACGGGCTGTAGCCTACTATTATACTCACTCTTGATGTGGCGCTCCTGTCTTTGTGAGCAGTGTGAGAACAAAGAACATGAATATGACAAACACAGCAAGTCCGACCCAGAAGCCAATGACGATGGAGTCTGAAATATCAGAGGAGAAAACATCTTATCCTCCCTCTGCATGTGTGATTTTAATTTATCACAGGAATCCCACCTTTCTAAGAGCAAACTCCTCAGTTACTCTGCTGAAATGAGCAGATGATCAGAACAGTACAGCTGCCTACTTATCTGTTAGTTTGCTGATGACCATTTTGTCTCACTAAGTGGTTTGTTCATTACCAGCTGGTGCTACATGAAACACTGCTGCCAGATATTTGTTTGTTGAGAAGCATGTGGGTCACCCTTCAGCTGAAGCAATAAAGATAATGCAAGAAATGACAGGTACCTGGGGTAATGACTCACTTGTACCTGGGGTAATGACTCACAGTCATAAAGGTGAGTAACCTAATGACATGCACTGAAAAGGCGCCCGCCGGCACGCACACAAGTTTTATAAAGTAAAAGCCATCAGAACAAAGACAGATTGCCTCAGTAATATGCAGTTGTATTAAGCTTACATCTGTGCGCTTTGAGTCCCTCAAAAGACACGGGCTCCTCGTCGTCATAATACTCATACTGCCACACGTAGTCACTGCGACGTGCGCTGGTTTGGCTCCGGTTGTGGAAGTCGGACATTTCAAACCGATTTTGCGTACCCTGACCTGACAACAGAAAACAAACGAAATCAAGCCATCAAGGATCTAGATAAACGACAATGCCACTACAGATATAAAGTTTACAAACCACAGTCTCAGGAACCGTGTTGTTTCTGAGAAGAAGTCTACAGCCCGTGAATGGGAGAATTCCGCGACCACCTCGGATGTTATGTCCCTCTTACGGAGTTCAGTGTAGGGCCAATAACGTGATAAAGAGCAGGGAAATCCCTCTTTTTGTCGTTGCGCAAAAAACTCCATCCATATTCCTTTAAATCCTGTACGCAAAGCAGCAGCAGTTTGGCGAATTGTCCAGTGCGCATCCCCGTTGTCCAATACCCCTTGAACTGGTGGCTCCCTATTCTGAGATTACGCTGTAAAAAATGCCCATCTTTACCCAGTCACTGAGTCTGGCGGTGGGAGTTAATATACTGAGTTCCTTGGATACGTTACGTCATGCATCTGATTATTCTTGCAGGAATGTATATCTCTATTGAAAACGTGTACAGAATTCATACACGCTACAATATCAGTAGAACTTACAATCAAGTCTACGAGAGAAGAGTAAGACATAAATGGAGGCTACAAGTTTTGTCTATTCTCAGAGAGTCTGTCTGAGGGAATGCCCACATCTGCGACCCACCCACTTTTACTGAACAAGTGCGTCATTCATAGTTTATAGGATGACGCCACAGTGTCGTTGCAATAGCACACTACTTTAAAATTTGTCTGAAATGATTTAGTAGTGTCAAATTTAAGAGAGCAAGAGCATGATCCAATATTACCCAGCATTACTTTATCCTATGGTCCCTGTCTGGAGTTATTTGGGAACAACTGGTTTTCCATTAAATCAGTCAGTATCCTGATTTGTTCCACTCATTCTTCAGGAATTTCTATTTGTAAAGTGTTCCTGTATACACTCTACACTAATACTAAGATGCAGGTCTATGTTTTATGGAAAAGCCCCAAGTAACATTTTAAAATGTGTCATCCACTGAATTTCTTGAAGAAGTGCACACAGTATGTAAATTGACTGACCATTTGTCATTTCAGGGGGATCGAGGAGTTAATGATTTTCAAATGGCATGAACTGAGGAGAATATGAAAATGTGAGGACGTATCTGCTTGAGGCAGGGAATCCTTATTAAAACCATAAAACACTGCATCGTTAATAGATTTATTAAATCTCCACTCAAGCCGCAAGCTTCACTAGTAATCCTGCATTATTTTAAGTTATGAGGCATCTTTTAAACAGAGCCACTTAAGGCATCCATTCATTCACTGATGCACCACCAAAATGATTTTTTCTTGTTAAGTATAATTTCTATTCACTGGAATAACAAATATAACACACTAACTTCTTGTGCTTATTACCCAGACGGCACCAAACATTGGAGCTACACCAGCATTATATGGGAACATATTGCATTACTTTCTTCGGTGTAGCTTAGAAGTAGTTTGTCATCACAGTGTGAACTTGAAAGCTTTGTATACCTTACTGCACTGGAATCATCTGAGGCTATGTGGATAATATATTGCAGCATTTTGTTCTCAGGCTGGCCACCTACTAGTACTAAACATCTTCATATGGTTCAAAATGCTGCATGTGAAATAAAAACTGCAACTTTCTGTCTCCAGACGATATCATTGGCTCTTTATCGCTGCCCAGCTAAAGGTGGAATTTCAAATTAAGCTGTGCAATACTGTAGAAATAACATAGGCTGTTGTCAGGAGATCTGCTCTGCTGTGGATATTCTCCTCGACGCCTAGAGCTTATAAAAATAATAAAATAATTAAAATGTTTTCCGCTGATGGATCATAAATACCATACAGTAAAGCACAAAATATTATTACTAGATTACATATATTTACTTAATTCACTTCCACTTTATTAAAAGCTGGAAAGAAAGGCTACATAAAGCTGTCAACGCTGTTTTGTCTCATATTCACCAGCAAATGAATAATACATATTTCACTGAAATCAGACAGTTGCTGTCCCGCTGGCTGTTATTCTTTGGGCTGCTGCTTTGTTCTTTAGCCACAGTGGTCATGATCAGATGATGCACTGTGTTGCTTTCACTGGGATCAAAAGAAATGTGAGCAATTATAGTTGGCAGGTAAATGGTCGACACACCTTTTAGTTGTGTCTGAAATAACTTCTCATTCACCACTGCCGGTATACTCAGCAGTTCACAATGTGCAGTACAGCAAATTCACATTTACTGCACACTTACAGTACTAATCGAGCCGCTCAGTGATAATTTTTTAATCTGAAAACATGAAGTATTGCACTGTGAGTTTGTTAGCAGAAAGTGGTGGATGTACCAATTATCTAATTTCACTTTTATGCTGATGACACATTGTTATACTTCATGGCCCCTTTCTAGACAAAAAGCATGTTGTTCTTGCTCAGTGAGACAAAATTTCTATCAATTCTTGATGATGGTAATTTGACTTACATGCACACTCCTCCAGCTTCAGTCATTAGATGTTGTGTTTCATAATGCTTTATGGTTTGTTTGTGACCTGAACAATTCTGTTGGCTGGCCTTCTCTGTCAGATAGAGGGCATTTAGGCTCCTTATTTGTTTACAAAGCTCTTATGGGAAAACAACCAGCACATCAAATATCTCCTCTGAAATTTAGACAGGCTTGTTGCTTTATTAGACCTCAGGAAAGTCTTATGCTGTTGCAAAGTATAGAATAAAGGCTTTTGAATCCTTTGCTCATCCGAGATGGAGCAGATTACAACAGGCTCTGAAAATGGATGAACCTTATTGATATGCTTTTAAGGTTTTAACTGAGACTCTTACTGACTCTACTCTTGCACATGCTTTTAAGGTTTTAGATGAGATTCTGATCGACTACTCTTACTTTAATTTAGGCATAACAAAATGTATTGCAGATCTTACACTAACTTATTTGTATCTTATTCTTTTCTTAATATATCTTTTTAATTAAATATGGTTTTAGCATCACCTTTATTAATTACATGGGTTTTTATTTGACTGATTTTTGGGTGTGTCTACCTGTAGATTTAAGAATTTAAGTGGTACATTTGTCATCTTCTTACATGAATATACAGCACATGTTCAAATTTCACTGTCAAATATTTGTTCTACTTGTGAAACTGTCATTTGATTTAGTCTTATGTTAACAGGGTGTCTGTGCAAAAATAGAGTGATGTTTTATTTTTAATTTGTGTTATGTGCAGTGAAGCTGAAAAATAGTTTTTGCATTATGGACAAAAAGGTTTCTGAATGGCAATTAAAAGTAAAAAAAAATTAAATAGTTTAAAATGACATTTTGCATTCAAAGTACAGTATCATATTAGTTTTACCAAGTAACCAGGTGCATATTATGGTACAGTCATCAAAATATTTGCAAATAAGCTGAAGCTTAATGAGCTCTACAGCAGCTGTCCTTAGTTTTACAGCCTAGAGCAAAGTTAAGTTTTTAACAGGCACAGCACTTCTACTAATTAACTTCAAAATAGGCTGCTACAGTTGGGCAAATAATTTGAATTACAATCTTAATCGCAGGCTTTTTCTGACACAGAGTAATTACACACTGATGACTTGTCTGTGTGTTAAAACTGATTGTTACAGTTTTCTCCTATCATCATCTGACCATGCTTGAAACACAGACTTCCTCAGAAGAGCCTGCAGACCCATGTTGCATGTAACAATCCCGACCATTCCTGTGTGACTCACCACTGCAGTCACTGTCTGTAGGAAGCATAATTTCATTGACACTAAACACCATATCCATTTATTAAATCCAAAAAATTCTTGATCATAAAACATAAAAACTGCAAGAAACAAAGAGAGTGAAGATGTCCTGGTTCCTGCCCTGGTCTTTCTACCCATTCTATATCCGCTGTGTCTAATATTGTTACAGGCAATACATTTTCTCATCATTGCTTTTTAATTGGTTATTACTTTCAGAAATTTCCCATTTTGCCCAATGCCATTCTGGTCACAAACTTGCTCTAGTTATATAGCAACTGTCCTTCACTGCTCCAAATCTGTTCATTTGTGAACTGGGGACAGAAACATTTAAAACTCCAAAATGGATAATATGAAATATTCATAGGCTTTGCATTGTTATTTCTGCAGCGTGCCATGCATAATTCTGATGTTGCTGAGATAAATACATAATTTCCTGACCAGTGGTGAAATCAGGCCCGGCAAGTGAGCTGTCTTTATTTGTCTCTTGTCCCATCCTGTCATTTACTTTATTTTTTCTCTATAAATCAACAAAAAAAAAAAAACACTTATTCATTCTTTATATCTCAGTGCCTTAATGTGTCTGGTACTGGGTTTATTTTTAGTTTCAGCCTCTGCTAAACAGCTTTTTCAATCTCCACAAACTTAAATTCACAAAGCCAAGGATACCCTGGCTGCTTTATTATACATGCACTTTCACATGGAGTGCTCAAGCACACTTTTCATTTGGCAGACACAATTTTCCTTCTTTCATGCTGCAGTACCAAACTAAAACACTCTCCTTGTCTTGTCACTTCCCACAGATGGTATTTTTCAGTGCATCGGCTCCGTTGGATGAGACTTCCAAATCTGTTTTTGTCAGCATGAACCCAAAAACCATGGAGCGCATTGAGCAGTCATGCAGTCAGTGATACAGAGTGCTCATGAAAAACAAGGCACTGTCATGCTGACCTTTTGCTTCGAGAGCAATGTCTTTAAAATAAAATAAACATGATGAAGTAAGAAAGAAACAGTGAGAGAGAGAGAGTATACGACAGAGACAATGTAAATCAATGAATTATAAATGAATTGAGGAAAGTACAATAGAATGTTATTGAGATTATTCCAAATGTAATATTTTTTGGTGTTTTTGCCTTTTTGACAGTTTGTTGTGAAGTTGCAGACAGGAAACATGGGTAAACAGTGAAAGGGGTTGTGACATGTGACCACAGTCCCCAGTTGGAGTTGAACCATGAACACTGCAGTGGCCCAAGCTGCTGTAAATGAACATGTAGCTATGGCATACACAACTTAACAATATGTTAGCTACTATAATACTGCAGATCCATGTTTTTCCAACTAAAAGCCATATATCACAGCTATACGAGATGCATTTACATTATTTTTGCCATGTTTCTCACATTTTTCCCTGAACTCTCCATGCTTCTACTTACAGTGCATTTTTACTGTGTCAGATGGTTTCCATGGGAACACTCGGGACTTCAATTAAGCTGGGATCTGAATCAGTCTGACCTTCTGCACAGCCATTTTCAGAATATAACTCAGAGCTTGTAGAACCCAAAATAAACATATACTGTGATGCTCAATCATTAATCTGTCATGACATCACTGTTATCATATGAACTAAAAAAAATTCAAGTTGATTATATATGATAAGCTTATTGAATTAAAGCGCTTGGAGGTTCAGCATTTAAATTTTAAATGATTTCAATTAAATTGCCACAGCATGGATGAACAATGTACACTTTTTTCTGTACTCGCTGACATTAACTACCTTCAAGCTGCGCGGCTTGGTGTTCATTGGTCATTTGGTATTATGTAAGGTTAATTCAAACAAGAAACGTCCTTTTGAGAATGCAAATATTAAATTGTGCAGTATCTCAAACATAATGGGTAATGGTAATGGGTGACATATTAAAGGAAAAACCTGAATAATTGAGTGACCTCTTCCAGGATGACAGTGGCCCCATGCATATTGCATGAGGGGTCACTGAATGGCTTGATGAGTATGAAAATGATGTGAAGGATATGATATGGCCTTCACAGTCACCTGATATCAACCCAGCTGAACACTTATGGCAGACTCTGGACCAACATGTTAAACAGCATCTCCACCACCATTGTCAAAACACCAAGTGAGGGAAAATCTTTTGGAAAAATTGTGTTCATCCCTTCAGGTGCACTGAAACTGTTCTGGTGGCATGTGGTGGCCCAACACCTTACCAAGACACTTTATGTCTGTTTTTTTCTGTAATTTGTCACCCATCTGTAGGTATCTACATCTCAGTGGAAGCTAAGGTGGGTTTAAAATGAGCTTCCATGTGTAATCTCTATATAATTACCTCTGATTTGAGATTATAAGAGATCTGGCAAACTTTCCTCGCAGTATGAATTGCATACAAACACAATGATTAGATGGCGAGGTACCGCTAAATGGCACTGTTTGCAGCTACAAAGGCTGTAGTGCTTAGAAAGCAAACTAAACTTTATAGATGGAAGCAGGAAGGTGGTAAGAGAACACGCTGAAGTTGTGGCATCTCCTCTGTAGTTAGTGCAAAAAGAGTGGCCTCTCCTCCTTCCTACATCAGTTACATGAACCAATGAACTCTCTTTTAAGACAAGAGTCAGCCTGAGGGAGTGACGCTCAGTGCCATGGTGCTCCGGAATACAAATAATAAATATCTTTGCATGACTAGAATAATTACTGTATTACACATTTCTGTATCTTTTTAAGCCTGTGGAAAATCTAAATGGAGAACAAATTCAAGTCTAACCTTGGATTTTTTTAATATAACTGCAGTGTTAGTAAATAAAGTCCCTTTGGTAAAGTTATGTATTTATAGAGGAAGAAATATTTAGCATAAATCAATACCTTAAGCTAATTTGTGTTGCCTGTCCCTAGATGGGCCTTTAAAATACATAAAACTCATCACTATAAAGAACTTACCCGCATCCTTTTTACCCTGTAGGTGTGGACTAATAGAACTTGACAGTGACACTGTCATGTTTGAGGCACTTTCAAATAGTTATCTACACAAGGGGAAAAATTACAGAGCACCAGCTTGACCTGATACAGACCGACGAAGCAATGCATAATTAAATCTTAAGTGAGCTGTAAGTAGTGTACTGAATTATTGCTTTGACTCCTCTGTGGCAGGTTGCAATTTAAATGTTTAATTTAAACTTCAAACAGAGTCAATAATATCAAGATGTCCTTGAGAATGCACAGTCCCAGAAGACACTAATTCTTGCTTCTTTTCAAATTTATAATTATTGAGACTGCTTTCCTATCCTTTTAGTAAATCCTTAAAAAAATCTGTTAAACAGGATAATGAAAGGGAGGAGCTCTCCATTTGGATCTGACTCCTCAACTGCTGTGTGTTTGAAGAGTAGAGCACACATGACTCAGTCTTTCTTAGATATCGCACCTCTCAATCAGTATTTATCTCATCATTTCCAGGAAATCAACAGGTATAGGATCACAGAGTATTTTAATTGGTAGCCCAGCGTCCCCCTGGCCAGCTGTCCCCTGAAGTCCCAGGAAAACGTCAACACGAGCAAATCACAAATGCTGCCTAACCCGCTTTCCATTTATTGTCAGAGAGAAACACCAATCTGAGTGACTCAATTTAAGACATAGCTTCTCAACCGAAAAACAAAAATTGATTCCAAACTGGAGGCCAGCAGAGAAATAGTGATTGAAGCTACTCACACAGACAAACAAGCACCATGGAGTTCATGAAGATATGACATGATTACACGCTTTATGGTGTAACTTCAGTTATTGGCAAAATATGAATTTACTGAGATTGTGTAAGAAGCACGAATGAATATATAAAGCTTTACTGAGTGCGCTATTAGAAAATGATGTTTGTGGTTGACTGTTGCCATGGAGAGGACTTTTTTGGGAAGAAACATTGTCTTTGTAAAAGAGGTATCAGTGACTTGGACAAAAAAAGAGAAAATAAGGCTGATGAATAATAAAAAGAGACTAAAGAGGAGCAATACAAAAGTTAAGGTTGTAGGAGGACAGCTGATAAAAGGGGGTCTTGGTAAATTGCATGTGGTGAACATTCAGTCAGACAAGTTCAGACTGGTTGTTAATTTGAGCAGAATTAAAAGAATGAACATCTGAAAATTTTCAGACGACTCCTTAGTGCTGAGCTGCAGCTTTGCATCCTTTAAACCTGTGAGTAGCTCATCTGCTTCTTTTTATCTTATCTTATCTTGTGTTAACAATTTACACTCGGGGTAAACACATGATATCCATTCTTTTGTGTGTGTGTGTGTGTGTGTGTGTGTGTGTGTGTGTATGGTGGTGGTTTTGTCTCATTCAAAGCTGACATGGACCTCACATTTACTGTTCCTGCTCTTTTGTATGTTTCTTTTATCCAATCTTATGACATGCTTTGCACTGATCTGATAAAATTTGTTGTTTCTGTGAGTCATCACTACAATATTAAAAACACACAGCGTGTATCTTTTTGATGATCAGCATACAGTATGTGTTCGGCAGTGGAACACAGTGTGTCCAATTAGCCCCAGAGCAAAAGGAGAGACAGAGAGATAGAGAGAGACTGAGGGAGGTCTGTGTGGACCTTATTAGGACCAGGTTCTGACTGCTTGTTCCCTGGTGTGGATGGATGCAGCTGGCACAGCAATTCATGGTTCACCTTAAACACAGACACCCTCACTACAGGCTTTAACACATTTTAACAGGTAATGGAGTCAGATGAAAGCATACACATATACTGTACTAATGTCTGTATGCAGTCCACTGTGTGCTCAGACAGCTACTAACAATGCATTTTGGCCAAACATTTGTACTGTATGTGTCTTAGATATTCCACTGTTTCCATAAGCATTTTATCCCAGATTGTAGCCCCACACTGACCCCTACTGTTACACTGACTGAGAGAAAACATCACCTAAATGAATGGGGCAAACTGTGTCAATAGATTACAGAAGGTATTTATCATTAAGTTGCACATTAACCTCCTGCAGAAGTTGCATAATAGATTCTCTGTTAGAGTGCCATGCGTTCAAGCTTGGCATCTGCCGGGGTGTAGCTATTATCCCCGTTCCTGCTGTTGTACACACAGAAGGCTGACGCGTGTCAACACCCCCTACACGCACACAAGCCCCTTTCCATCATCCAACTCAGCGGGAAATAACAGTAGGGCACGTGTTTCTTCACACCTCACACCCAAATGGCTTCAGACAAAGGTACTGAAAGAGTTCAACAAGTTTTTATCAGGAAACATTTAAAAGATCAAACTGAATCATTGCTCGGTTTTAAATCTAGTTAAATTTACGATACCCTGTAGGTTTTTAAGAATTTTTCCAAAACTGTATCCAACTATAACTAATGCTGAGACCCTTAACAAGAGTTACATACAGTGGACGCAGAAAGCAGCCACGTGTAGCTACTGTTTAACATCTAATCAAAGATACGGTAGCACACTAATCTTGGAAATATGTTTCAAGTAATGTAGGCCAATCCCTCTGGAGATATTTTAACAATATTACATGCAAGATTACGAAAGAAAGTGACCATATGGTCGTAGTTTGCTGAAGTGTCACCTCTCACCTCAACACCGTGGCGCATGGAAACACTTGGGGACGCGTCAAAGCGCAATTTGGCACCAGCCACCAGGGCCCGGATAAATAGAAGGTTCCTGCTTACAGTCCCACAACCTCGTTGGATTTTACGCAGTACTGACCACTACAAGGAACAATGGAGACTCCTGCCGCCGCCAGTGGATTACCTTCAGACAATGTTAGCCAACAGTCCGATATGTGGAGACCATGGACTGGGAAAGAGGAGACAACTGACGTGGATAAAGTGAGCTTAGTTAACTTAAGAGTTTTTAAGACGTTCAATTCAAACATGCATTTTTAATGGATACAAAGTCTTACGAGCTGTTTAACTTTCAGGATCACACTATGCATGGAGGCCTTTCTGATGCGAAGCACCCCAAAGCTCCTCACTTCGTGCATCCAGTAAAGTAAGCAGAGTTTTGCTAATTACATAACCTGTTTTCTTGTCAGTAATTTCTTTGTGAGTATATTTTATTCATTCGTTTTTCTTTCTGAAGGCTGCTTTGGCCGAAATCGAGGTGTTTCGACTATCTGTACCGAGAGGCAGAATTGCTCCTACGCAACTATCCGGTCCAAGCGACCATCTGCCCTTATCAAGACTCCGGCAGCGAAGCAGACAGCGATGATGAAGAGGAGGAGGTGGAAAAGGAGCACAACTAAATGCCGTCTTTTTAAGACAGAGAAGACAATTTATTGCATAATGTGATAATATATATTTCACTTAATTTATTCCTGTAAATATATGTAAATAAATCTTTTTTTTTCATTTTGATACCAAAACAGAATGTACATGCTTAAGTTATTCCTCTTTTGTATTTTGTCGATAATTCCAATAAAATACATTACATGAATGTCGTTGTCTGGGCCTTGATTGCTTATACAGTATATAAAGATTTTTCTCTGGATTATCTTGCACTGCAGAATAAATAAATCGAATAAAGTTCCAAACTGCTGGCAGTGTTCACTTCCCCAGAGTACACGAGGTTCTCCAGACAAGAAGACTTCTCCAGTTCAAAATTACAATTTGAAAGTCGTGAATGTGCACAGACAGCAGACTTCTTAGTAATTGCATAACATTTCCCCAGGGTTCCTTGTTTATTGTATCTGCTATATCCTAACATCCCTTTTGCATCAACTCTAATGTACTTTTCCTCACAATTATTACTTGGAGATAACAGACTTATTATGAGAACATTATATAGTTTTTTCCCCTATAGTTTAGTTTAATAATTAAAAGTTTCTCAACTTTGCATAGCTGATACATCTGCCTGTTTGTCGCTGAACAAATCTTTTCCCATGGGTGAGTCTAAGGTGATAAACGCACCATTTCCTGCGCAGTGTCGCCTGAAGTGAGGAAACTGCGTGACATGTGGAAGGTGTCAGCCTGTCAGGGAACCACATAGAGAGCTGGACCTAGTCAAATGGAAAACGTTAGACCCCCAGTGAAACCACCCAGCAGCAGCACAGTGCCAGAAAATCACTGCTTCTATTCATTTGAACTCTGAAGACTATTCATATAGAGACCCTTGTTCCTCCTGCTTAATGTGCATTGTGTTTGTGCAGCATCACCTCCAAATGCACATTAAGTGTGCACTGCAGACTACACGTGACAACATCACTGCAGTTGTCAACCAGTTGTATGTATTTCCAGTATTGCCAGTGTGTCCAATGGCTAATGATAATTAAGATTTAAAAAAAATCACAATGTAATATGAAAATGTGCATAATCTAAGGACCATATCTCATAAAAATGAAGTTCTTAAAACCGATTTATGGGTCAGTTACTGCTGCAGAACTAATTATGTTCACTGGATGGATTGCTAATATTTGTTTTAAGAAACTGACAAAGTGACGTTGACTTGTATTATTTTACCTCACATTAAAGACCTCGGAGGAGTAAAGCTTACAAATTTAGCTAATATCAGGACTATACGGGTACAAAGCCACAACAAAAAAAAGTTGTACTGAGTTCCTCCTGGAGCAAGCAATGGAAAGGGTGGCTTCTGTGCATCATAAGAGCAAATGGAGACCTTATTTTAAGGGTTGTGATGAAGTGATGAAGCTCTGATAACCTCTTTAACTCCGGCTTGGACTTTCCCAGGGTTGGGTGTCAGAGCTGCGTGAGTGTCACTCACTTGGGTGTGAAATTTGCTCACCTCTAAAGTTAAATATAAAACCAGGGACTGATGCCCGGTCTGATTAACTTAACTGAGTAAAGTTTAGATCAATTAAAGTAAATCCAACACTTCTTATTTGGCTTGTTTAGCTGTGTAAACTATCTGTGTTTTAAATTGGATGATACTGGTAAAAGGTACCAATTTAAATGTTTGATCAGCAGATTGTTGGTTTAAATGCTGGGCTAAAGAGGACAATAAGGATAATCACCTTTATTTGGCCAAGTATGTTACACACAAGGAATTTGTTTCTGATATAAAACCGAGGCAGCCATCTGCGGCGTCAACTCAACTGATGGCTCTAACTATCGGGGGAAACTTGAGGCATGTCTTGCCCAAGGACTGACTGGTTGTTTTTATTTGTGCATGAGGACAAGTGTTATCAGGAAAATACATGCAGTAATGTGATGAATTTACATAATTACCTGCAAGACATTGTGAGCTTTGTTGAACTCTGCACTTTCAGACACAGGCTGCTCTTTCCCAGGAGATGGTGTGAATTTGGGTGTGAGCAGTGCACACCTAAAGGGGTGGACAGAGTTCAGTCCCAGGTTTGACCTCTGTGGTCACTTTTGTTACAACTGCCATGTTCCATATCTGTAAACAGCCTTACACCAGTTGTTTTAAATAAAAATTTAAAGAGATGGAAGTTACTCCCACCCCCATTCCCCAGTTTAGTCTCACATTTATTTAAAATGTCTGTCATATTTACATCCTCTGCAGTTGTCTAAATATATCTCATACTTTGGTGATACTAAAAATGGAGTATTCATTTTTATCATACAGTTTAATGCTGACAGTGAAGATCTGTCGTTTGTAATTTTCTAATGAAAGCTCATTTGGAGAGTGTGACTCCCGGCATGGTCCTGTGAACTTTGCCTGAGCCTGGCAGTGTGATCACAGACACCAAAAGAGGTGACAAAGTGTGACTCCTTTGAGCCTAAACTGGATCTAATAGACGGACTTCCCACAGTCACACCTCTGTTTGCCACTGGGAACAGTTGCACCGAGCCAGATGAGTTGTGATTGTGGAAAGGCTGTTTACATCTGGTTGCACAGCATCGCTGTGTTGTCAAAGGTGGTTCATCTCTAAGCCAAAAGAGGGCACTATGCTTTTGCTAATGCATAAATTTGTGTTCAAAATGTGCATGTGAACAGGAAGTGCTTCTGTGCTGGAGTAGAAAGGACAAGAATGTGGCCTGCATGCACACATACCTACCCTCTCTGGTGTTGCTACAGTGTGTTGCATGTGAAACTGTGACTTAAAGAAATTGGTTCCCATGAAGCAGTGGATGAAAATGGAAGAGTAAGCCTTGCTTTTCTCCATGTATAACCTTAATGATGTGTACTATGGATGTTGTGGAATACATTTGTGTCTATTATGTCACTGACTGACATATCAGTGTCTGTCAAAGTAGTAGTGACATAAGATATTGAATGCAGTGTTATAATGTGCCTGGGATGAGTAGCAGTCAAACATTTGGTGTTTCTAGTGTCTACACTCGCATCACCTTACAGGCCCCACCTTAACATTAAGCTGGTGTAAGTTCCAGTCAATGCTTGTTAATGGTTGAACCAACATAAATTAAGCCTTCTTCTTACTTACATTGGCGACTGTGGTTCAGTGGGTAGAGCAGTCGTCTCCCGGTCGGAGGCTTGAGTCTCGGTGCCTCCTTGGGCAAGACACTGAACCCCGAAGTTGCCCCTGATGGTTAGAGCCATCAGTGTGAGTTGGCGCCACAGATGGCTGCAAATTCTTGGCCAAATAAAAGTGACTGAGAAACTTGGAGAGCCCAGACAGGGCTCACAATTATTAGAGAATAATTAGTGCATCTGACCAACAGATGGGGCAAGATATCCAAAAGTGAATGATCAGCTGGTTTTAGTGTCTGTATTGCAACTTTGCGAAGCGTCCACCTGGGGGCTATGTTGTACTTCTGCAGAAATGAATAAGCTTCAATTATCAGATGGTGAAAATTCAAACATGTGGAAAAGACCAAAGATTCATAGAAGGTTCTGCATATTACTTAAAAAAAATACAAAGAAGAACATTAAATATTAGATTACATAAAATGTATTCATTTTTTGTTGCAACACAATAAGCACTAAACACCTGAATAATGGGCAAATTAGTGTGTTAAAATGGTTTAAATAAAAAAGCATGTGGCCTTTGGAGTGTACTCTATCACATTAAAATGTAGAAATGTAAAATCATATATTGATATTTGTAAGCTTCAAATAAATTATGCCTAAACATAGATGCATCATCAGGGCTTAAATCTGCTTAGATCAGGTACTGTGTGTGTTTGTATCTACAGGTTTTAGTATTAATTTCCTTTCAAAATGTCTTAATCCTGACTTTTTAGCGCCTAATAACATCTTATATGAATCCCAGTGGACTTTAATTATAAATTTGGATTGCTTCATGGTCCAAAGCCAGTCTTTTGTAAATAACTTAATCTAAATATGTAAGATATATATTTTTAAGTTAATTCAACTTAAAAGTTACACCTCCCAGAGTGCAGGGTTTTCAAAAAAACAGACATGATGGAAACCTGCTGTGTTCTGATAAGTTATGGTCGTTTCTCTTAATAATAATCCAAACAATGCTACAATTACAATGATGAAGATCAGTGTTTAGTTCAGCTGCTACAGTGACTGTGTGCAGCCTCATACTGTATTTTGGAACAAAGTGGCTTCAACAGGAGCAGCAGTAAGTTCTTCATTTTAATTATAGCTGAAATAGATGTATAGGTTCAAACAGCTACTTAAGCACTTCAATAAGTTAACAAATTCTGAATCAGCCAGGCCAAGGCAAGAGTTTACACAATATGCAATATCAAATAGATTTTTTTTAACTTAATGTAAAGATTTAAGCCCTTTTGTAGGCATGTTGTGTATTTTTATTTGTGTATTTATATTTCAGTTATCTTTTAAAGTTGTATAATTGTTTATCATAGCTCTAGGACCCACACTTTTGTAAATGCATGAGGTATACAGATCTTTTCACACTGTGCATACTTAGCACCTGCCATTCAAGCCTTTCTCTTCAGGATATTATGTATGAACACCACACAGGTGTCATTAAGCAGCAACAATACAAGACTTGGGACCAGAAGCACAGTGAAACTCTTCATACTCTGCTGAGCAAAAGATAGTTGCTCTGGTTCTTCTCAGCACACAAACGTTTGGCTGTTTAGGAGACATTGCTGTGCTTTTCTCCACCTTGTTATCTCACCCTCCACTTAAATTTTAGTATGGTCTCCTCTCTCTGAGATGTGTGCAGTGGAGATAATTACCATTTCAGCAACGTTTGCCAGATGATTACCTCATAAGCCCCTATTTCATTTGATAAGTCACGCATTGATTTAACTCAGAGTTGGACCTAATGGAGTATCTTTTCCACTGCCACAGTGATTTGTATGCTAAGGCGAAAGGACAACGGTGGATTGGAGGCAGAAAAACAGACGCTCGCCACTCCTGTTCACTCAGTCGCCGGTGGAAG